GGGTGGAAGGCGCCGTTGGGTCTCTTTTCACTGGTCGGTCGGGCCTCCCAAAAGGCGTCCAGGGGCGGGTGAGTCAGCAGAAATTTCCCCCAAAGCCAACATCACCAAAGCGGGAGAGAAAACCAAGATGGGTGGCAAAACCCTCCTCCAAGCGGATCCACCAAGCTGGGCAAGGCCGTAGCGATATCCCCGCGCGTGCGCGCCTCTCTTGGGTTTTTTTTTTGTTTTTACATCCTCTCTCCGCCAGCTGTAGTTTCCCAGGAAGCCAATTACCGATCCCCAGCGCTGCCTCCCGAGGACGGATCCTCTTGTCAGCTCACGGACTGTCTGCCATGGTGCTAGAGCAGCGTCAGCAGACGACAGGACTCATCGCTCATGGTTTCCTGAGCTGCCTCGATCCCAATGGGGTTGAAACCCAGAAGCTGTCAAACAGCCGAGTGGCTACTTGACATGCAAAGCCTGACAGCTCCTCTTCTGCTCGCTCGCAAAAGGCCACGGCTAAGATCCAGGGAGGGGGGGGGAGGTGTGGGTGTGATTTCCCTCTTTAGCGTTTTTGTTTCTGATCTGCAAGGAATCGAAACAGAGTAATAAGAAACGACGACTGATAACACGCTAAATCACAAAGTTGATCGATAGCGGACGTTTGCGATTAATTTTTCATCCCAACCGCTGTTCGCCGATAGGAAAACGAACTGCTGCTGGAATTCTGGAGTTACTGAGAAATCATCATAACTTGCTGTGCTAAACTTCAATCTTAATGCATATGCTTGGACCAGATTGCATCTTAATGGCATAATCTATACGTAGGCTACTTACCTTCCCAAAACTTTCAAATATTTTAGTAGCGTATTTTACTGTTACAAGGACGACGTTAAAAAGGAGGAGTTTATTCTGCAATTTGTCTTATTGTAATTTATGTATGGAAATACCGGCACCTGTGAAGCTCTAGGGTCCCGTGAATGCAGACGATGCTACCAAGCCCAGTTCTAGCTCTTTCCAACACAGCTCAAAACCAGACAAAGTGGACTTAGCTCCCAGCAGGAACTGGCAGGCTTCGCTCTACGTGGCACACCTACTGCTTTATTTTCATGGGGTGAGGAAGAATTGCAACGGTTTCTTAGAAGGCTTTCTGAAAATTTCAAACCGCATTTTTCTCTGCCACCCGGTTTCTTTTGCTGCTGCTATTCTCTGTTATGGCAGGGAAAATCCAATTCCAGCCAGCTCTGATGTTGACATTATTCACAATGCAGATCGGCTAATCCCAGGTGTTAGTCCTCTGAAACGGGCTGCAGTATTTTATGTATGTTTGCGCAGCTGCCCTTATTTAAGAGGACAACTCCTCATTTTAAAAATAATATATATGCCACAGTTCACTCTCTTCCTCTGAAGAGGTCTCTGCATTCAAAGCGTTTCGGCAGAGCGGATCCCCTCTCTGGTTTCTCTCCCCCAGGCTGCTGGAGCTGTTCTGGAAGGTGTGTATTAGCAGATCTCTCCTGATGGAGGAGAGGATCTCCGACACCTCCCTCGCCCACCGCTTCCCCTTCACCTCCCTGCCTCCCATTTCTTCCCCAGAGATGGGGAGACGGTGTCCGGAGCTGCTGCCAAGCCCTTTGCCGGGCTGGGGGGTGTGTGGGGGTGTGTGTGGTGGAGGGGGAGAGGGGGCAGAAACGAGCCTGCCAGGGCGAAACCTGCTTTAAAACAGGCACACACCTCACTCAGATGCCTGCACCTGACACGTTCGGAGCCGCGAAGTCACCTCCTACTCTCTCTTTATATTTAATTTCGTTCCTCTAAATGTCAACACGTTTATTTTTATTATTTGTCACACGCGAGGTGGGCAAGAGCAGCGAAAAGGAGGCGAGGAGAACCCCCAAACTTGGCGGGCAGAGACCAGCCGTGCCCAGGCAGCGCAGAGCCCCCGGCTTTCCCCCGC